ACACTACCAGAGCTCCTATAGATAAATCTTATTATATAATGACTAAGAATTAAAAGTCCCTCCAATATAATAAAGGATTTGAAATACTGAACTATCCTTCCTATGAATCGTATAAAAAAGATTCATATGCTTGTGTGAGTTAGTACTCTCTTCTTCAGTAACAGTACTAGGTGACTTGTTTTTTTCCCAATGTTGAAAAATAAAGTATTCTGAGAAAAATTCTGAAGAAAAGTTTCAGGACTGGACAAAAAGACTAATTTCAGATGAATCCTAGTTTGACTGTCTGGACAAACAATTTTATATTCTTCTTGTCATATTGATGAGTGCAAATGAACTAAAAGTAAACAATATATCAAAAGCACAGCTGTATACACATATTCTTATATACATACATACTCAAAACTACCTTTTGTGATGCTATTAAATTTCATGTACTTTGTTTTTAAGGAAACAGATATATAAGATATTTCTAAAAGCTCAGTTTAAGATTTCACCTTGAAAGGCAATAAAAGATAAAGTACATAAAGCACCTGTCAAGCTGTATACTAGAAATTTTTCTACAGAATAGTAGGATGACATCTACGTTCAGAAAAAGGTATGTCTTGTCTAGATAACATATTTTTTTAATATAATCTTACATAAATCAGAGATAGCTTTGTATTGTTCAGCAGAATTTAGTTTTGATCAAACTTCTTTCTAAAATAATGTTAACAACCCTTGTTAGAAAACTCAGACCTTTTGAGGGAAATGGCCAGGACAGGGGTGGCCTGTTAACATACAAATGTAGGACAGGGGTGGCCAACATCTGGCCTGCAGGCTGTATGCTGTTGTTGTTGTTGTTAAGTGCTGTCGAGTTGGTTCTGACCCATAGAGACCTGTATAGGGTTTCCGAGTGGCAGCTGGTGAGCTTGAACCACCGACCTTGCAGTTCAAACGGCTTTACACAGTCTGGCGCATTAACCCACAGCGCCACACTAGGACTCCATGTTGTTGTTGTTAAGTGCTGTCGAGTCGGTTCCGACCCATAGCGATCCTGTACAGGGTTTCCGAGGCTGTAGATCTTTACGAGAGCAGAAAAAGCTTCATCTTTCCTCCCGCGAACTGCTGGTAGTTTCAAACTGCTGACCGTGAGGTTATCACAGCCCAACTCATAACCACTATGCTACCAGAGCTCCTTGGAAATCATTTGGTTTGGCCCTGTCCAGGCAACCACAGTTTCAGCCATCACGTTAGGAATGAGTGGACTCCTGGTATAGTGCTGCAGGATCAGCACTGGAATGCGAATCACAAGTTTGATAGATCAAGCCCACCAGCAGCTCCTTGGAGACCCTATATAGGGTCACTATGAGTTAAAACCAACTTGAGGACACTTAACAACAACAACAACAATTAAATGATTAGCTAAATATAGCAAGTTTTTTTTTTTTTTTAAGTTTTCATTGTGAACTTAGTTTACATGGGAGAACATTGGCTTTACACCATTTCATTGCAATGATTACAATCTCCTCCATGCACAATCATTCAATAGCATTTGCTTCCATTCCCTCTGTTTTTTTCTTTTTTTGGGGTGGGGGGGTGGTGGTGAGCGGTATGTACACAGAAAACACTCATGAATATATAATAATTTAAACAAACCAAAGGGCACATTCTGTAAGCCTAGCAGGCTCATTTTTAAGTTGATAATTGTGCATGGCCCGTGAATGATGTTATAAATATTCAAATGGCCCTTGGCAGAAAAAAGGTTCCCCACCCATATCCCAGATGATTCTTAAATTTCATAGCTATGTTCAATATTTTGTTTCTCCCTACTTTCAACTGATTGGGTTTGACTGAAAACCTGTCCAGAGGGAAGCTAATCTTTTGTTTTTTTCACTTTTCTTGTGAATTGGGTCAATGTTTACAGAGCAAATCATCAGTTTTATATTCATCAATTCATACACATTTTGTTTCACCTCATTACCTGCAATCCCCTCATGGGAACATCACTTATCCACTTCCTCTCTCTGTTTCCTGTTTCTTTTCTTCCTCCTTTCCTAACCCTTCTGAACTTTGTCCTTGTATAAATGCTGTCCTTTTGATCGCAAATGGGTCATTATTCTGAACTTTAGTGTATACCTCACTAAAGTTATTGTTTCCCTTAAGAACTATTCATTGTTCAGCTAAAAATTGAGTGTGTGGAGTTCAGTTCAGTTCCAGACCTGTTGTTGTTAAGTACCGTGGAGTCAGTTCCGACTCACAGTGACCCTGCACAGGGTTTCTGAAGCTGTAAAGCTTTACGGAAGCAGAACACCTCATCTTTCTCCCACAGAACTGCTGGTAGTTTTGAACTGCTGACCTTAAGGTTGGCAGCCCGACTTGTAACCACTCTGCTACCAGAGCTCCTTGTTCCAGACCTGAAGAATGACTAATAACCACTGTCTCAGTCTCTACTTAACCAGTAAGCTTAGTGTTGTTGTTTTTTGTGAGTTTTGTTCCACATTTTTCTCCTACTTTTTATCGAGACCCTTCTAATGTGATCCTTTCAGAGAAACTGGTAGTGGTAGCTGGGCACCATCTGGTTCTTCTGGTTTCAAAGTCATAAAGATTTATGTTCATGTGCTTTGTAAGTCCACTGGACTAATTGGGAAAGCTAGCATGATCTTGGCCAGAAGCTTATGAGAAAGATGTAGCTGTCTGCTTCCCTAAAGATTTATGGAAAAAGTGGTTCAATGGCAACAAATTTTAGTATAAAGAATACCCAAAAAAACTTACAGTTAGGCTAGAAAAACATGTTTTACAAATAGTTTAAGTTTTATAAGCTGAAGCAAAAATGACTTAGCATTTCAAGACTTAATCCACAGGGTAGATATTTCATTTCAGGTCGAAACAGGTTAACGGAGCTATTAAGCTTGTTTATATATTGTTTATGGACTAAATCAATAAGTCAGTGTGGAATTTAAAAACAAGCACACAAGCTTAAGAGAGTGAATGATTATAGGCATTATTTGACTTGTCTGTAAAATAAGTAAGCTATTATTTGAGTTAAAATGTTCCTTTCCAACATATTATTTAACTCATGAGTCTACTTTATACTTTACATGGACACTCAATGATTTCCATCTAGGAGATACACTTCAAACCTCATTCATTCTGAATATAGTTCTCTTTACTTTCTCTCTTTCTTGAATAGTGACAGCCCTGTTGGTGAAGTCGTTAAAGCTCTCTCGGCTGATAATCAAAAGGTTGGCGATTCAAGTCCACCAGCTGCTCTTTAAGAAAAAGAGGGCCATCTGCTTCTGTAAAGACTGCAGTTTTAGAAATCCTTTAAGACAATGCTATTCTGTCCTGTAGGGTCACTCTGAGTGACTCGACAGCAGTGGATTTGGTTTTGGGTTTTCCTTAGATAGCACCATTGCCTAAAATACCACTTAGTATAATCTTTAATTCCAACAAAGTATTTGATACCTTAGTGAATTTCTTGTAATGTTAATAACACCAAAATACCAAACAAATAGAATACAATGTAGAGGAGTCAGTATTTACTTAGCACACTTAAAGTTAAACAGAATAACGCTCAGGAACTCTAAGTCCTTGTTACCCAGTTTCAATAATTAGCAACTCATGGCCAGCCCATGATCCCCCTCTTCTACTCTCCCCTCCAATATTATTTTGAAGCACTGTCCAGACATTCTATCATTTCATTTGGGCTGTAATTTGATTGGGTAGGGGAGATACAACAGAAGGATCAGATAGTTAAAGAGATATAATGCTTCCCTTCCTCCCTTAATTATGACCACAATTTTAAGTGGTAACATAATCAGTGAAGATTTTAGAGGGAAAAAAACCCTGTACCACTCCAAAAACACAAGTACTAACAATTCCAAATTTACTGCAGCTGCCCAATCCCCTCCTCTCCTTAACATCTCAGACTACCTATTCAGCAGCAAAGGTAATACTGGGAAAGCAGTAATAGCATGTCTTAGCTGGTATGTTCTAGTCCCGAATCTCTGGACTAACCAAAGGGATAGAATGTCATCAATGAAATTGTTTTTTCTCAGCATTAGATTAATTACCAAGGCACTGAATTGATACTGTTTCTCCAGTTCAGACAGAAGAACTAACTGTCCACCTTTTAAAATTTGTCTCTGGCTAGCTCCATGGGCTAGTTAAATGAGGTTACGTAGCAGTACTAACAGAGCTATCTCCCAGGGAAAGAAAACTGCAGGATAAGTAGAGAGAATCAATCATCTCCTACTCCTTAGAATCAAATACTGACCAAAACGGTTTGGTTACCCTACTGGTAAACATTCATATCTGAGAAGAGAATGGAGTGTTCCAGAGACACAGATTGCAGAAGTTTCATGAATGCAATCGGTATTCCTGACGGTACAATTTTCAATACAACAACGAGAGGAAAACATGAAGATAACATCATGCATTCTTATTACCGAATAAAGCAGGAAAAAAATATTCAGTAATCTTGAATGTCATGTTTAGTATCTTAACTTAAAATTATCAATTCAGTACCCCCAAATAACTAAGTACTGATTCTCAGGCTGTAATTTCGTCTTGTTTAATTACAAAGTGAAGAGAAGATTGCTTACAAAGGATAAAATTCTAATCACTGTAATAAGAAAACTAATTTAGGGTAACTTCCAGTAACTAAAGTCAGGATGGAGTAACATCTGTGAATGTATGGCCCACCTCACTGGCTGCATTTTGTAAGTAAAATACGATTCCTTTATTACAACCAACTAATCTCTGGTTCCAGAGACCGAGTTTCAAAGAAAATTTGGCTTTAATGAATTTTCATGATAAGAGGATCGATAACATTCTCAAATTGCTCCATTATTAGTATTGCTACAGCTAACATTTCCAAGTGCCATCTGTAACACAAAAATTAGTTTATTCTATAATTACAAACCTAAAGAAAAATAATACTGGGAATATGAGAAAAGTTTTATTCCAATTAAGATGGATATGTAAAAATTTTCAGGTTAAATCATCAAAGATATACTCACTTTTGTTGTCTTTGCATAAAATGGGGAGGAGAGTTGGTGAATAGGCAGGTCCATGTTACTACTGGAGTTTGTGATACTGTTACTATGTGTATGTTCATCCTCTCTGCTACTGTCATCAGACTGATCAAAATCATCACTCTCCTGGTCCATTTCCTCTTCCTCTTCATCCTCCTCATCTTGTTCACCACCATGTTCTTCATCTTCCTCTTGCTCTTCTTGGTTTCCTGAGGAGTCTTCATCTACTGAAATAAATTGATTGTTGTTTTCTTCTAATTGTCCTTGCTGGGAATCATTTTGGTCTCCAGATCTAGACTCTGCTCCCACAACTTCGCCATTCCTTGCAGTATGCTCTTCCTCTTGTTGTCTTAGTTGTTGCTGTTGCTGCTGTTCCTCTTCTACCACACGATTCATCTGTTCCTCATCTACCTGGCTTGAGGAAGGGTTACCTCTCTGAGAGCTTCCAGTTCGTCGTCTTTTGCTGCCCACAGAGAGCAGTTCCTGATTCATTTCCAAAAGCCAGCTTGCTACTTCTTGGACCTTGGCTAGACTATCAGAAGATGCAAAAGTTTTCACATTCTGTGGGAAAATGGGAGGGAAAAAAAGTTTGTACATTCTATGTTATCTTCTATTTTCACATTATATTTTAAATATTAAAGATTATAAAAAGCATTTGATTCTATCTGGATATTAACATGCTCTTTAGTAATCAAAATATATTTTTTAAGTAATAAAAGTTATCAGACTTTTAAGACAAACACAGAAAATCATAAAGTAAACAACTTTATTCTTATCTCCTTTTTAGTAAATTTTAGTGTAAAGTTTTATAGTTAATTCAGTTGTGCTGACCAATGAAGCATACTTTAACCAATAAAATTTTGTACCAGTAGTTTATAAACTACAGTCTTTGTAAAGGCATATAAAAACGTCAAAAAGTTTATCTCACACACACAAAAAATTATCCAAGTACTCAGTAAAGTTCAGGAAATGCTGAGGGAAGCCAAGTGAAAAAGGCTTTTACATTCTAGGAGTTTCTCAGACACTACTGATCACAGACATAATTTTCTGATAAGTACTAAATATAATAAATATGACTTCCCTTTATCAAAATGAACATAAATCAACTAGGCATCAAACAAATAAAATATTTTAAGAAAGAAAAAAAAAAGGAATAAAGTTCATACCCTCTGACCCAGTAACTCCACTTCTGGCAATCTATCCTAAGGAAGTAATCCTAAAAACAGAAGAAAAAAAATATGCAGAAGATGATCACTGAAGCTTTATCCACAAAACCAAAACACAAAATAAATGAACAGAAAAGAAATAATTTAAAACAAAAATAACCAAAATTAAATGCACAAGATAAAAGAATCACTGAGATTGGGATGCAATTCCTAAATATGATGTTTATGAAAAGTTTGCAATAACATGAGAAGCTGTATGCCATATTATGCTAAAGGAAACTTACAGAAAACAGAATAACCTTTGAATTGCATAAAAAGACTGGATGACAATACCATAAAATATAAACTGTGTTTTAGGTAGCGGTATCTTTATTTTTTATCTTATTTTAAAAATGTTTCACATCAAGCAAATTCACATTTAAATTTTTTAACATGAGATCTAAACTTTTGACAAAGCATCTTTTCATAATTTCACTCTAAAATTTCATCCTTTGCTGATAATGTATCCTGTTCAAGAATGCAAACAACTAATGCCACCAACACATTATATAAATTCATTAAAACTGCCTTTTAAAAATATATATATTTTAAGTTTGCATGACATAGCCACGCCTACTATTCCAACCTTCACCACTAGATGGTGGATGATCCAACAAAGTTCACAGTTCTCACTGCAAGCTTTGAAACAAGCTCAAAATGAGTAAATACAGCAATGTTTTATTTTGTAATCTCAACTTTCTAAGAAATAAAACTCAACTTAGAAAAAAAAATTCCTGAACATTAGGTGATGATTTTTTTTAAATCTCTGTCAAATTTTCTTATATGTTTAAAAAGGTAAGCGAACACAGGAGACATAGCTGGAGAAATGTTTCCCAAAAGATAAATAATTACACATTAATTCATCAACTCACTCACAACCACTGAGGATGTACCTACTGAGGTGTACCTACTACGAGCAACTGGTTCGAGAACATTTTTACTTAGATCTTTATACCCTTCTGTATTGTCTAAATTTTCTGTTATGTAATGAAACTAGAATTTGCTTTTAATGCTAAAAAGGTATCATAAAAATAAATATAATTATCTAAAACTACAGCAGTAGTAAACAATGAAATAGGAACCCATTTTTCCTATTTGAAACGATTGAATCTTTTTGCAAATTTAGTTACTTCTTAATTCCCTTAGTAGAAACATGTAAAATTTATATGTCATTGTTGTTGTTGAGTGTTGTCGAGTCGATTCCGACCCATATCGACCCTGTATAGGGTTTCCAAGGAGCAGCTGGTGAGTTTGAACCACTGACCTTGCAAGTTCAAATGGCTTTGCAGTCTGATTCATTAACCCACAGTGCCACACCAGGATAAATTTCCATATAAGAATATAAACACTTCCCTACAGACTCTTGAGCATTCTTAAACTTAAAAGTTTTTTACAAATTTATTCAAAATCAGAGCAGAAGGAAAATAATTTTGCCGTGAGTTAAACTGTAGATAACATCCTACCTATAAATGTGTCAGTAGCATTTTACTATACTTATTTTTTCTCGTATTTATTCATTTACACCTCGATCCAACCCTCAATCCATCTTATGTTTTGATACATTTTAAAGTAAATTCCAAAAAAATTAGTAAACGTTCCCCTAAATACTTCAGCAAGCATATCACTGTTGCTGCTAAATGCCATCAAGTCAGTTTAGACTTATAGCAAACCTCCGAGAGGCTTATGGGTTTGAACCACTGACCTTGTGTTTAGCAGCCCAGTGCTTATCCAAAGTGCCACACAAGAGTTTAAAATTTGTTTAAAGTTTTTTTTCCCAAAATTTATGTGTAATAGGAAACATAAATCTTAAATGTAATTCACTGAGTTTTGGCAACTGCATAGCCTAAATACCAATATAAATAAAGAACATTACCAGAATGTCCTTTTCTGTCCTCTCACCCATTCCCCAGGTAACCAGTGAGTATTCTGAATTTTTCAAACATAAAACAGTTTTGCCTCTTTTAAAACTTCATTTAAATGAAACCATATAATACAGACTCTTTAGTGTAAGGACTGTTTCATTCAGCATAATGCTTTAGAGATTCACCAATATTGTTGGGTTTTCAGCAATGTTCTAAGTATTCCAACATATGAATATAATCACAGTTTATCCATTCTTTTACTGAGATATCTGAGCTATTTACAGTTAGGTATTTAAGGAGAAACATATTACACAGTCCTAGAAGAAAAGGGAATTTCTTTGGTAAAATGATTTAGATTAGGGGTGGAGAACGTCCAGCCAGCGAAATCATTTGGTCTGGTCCTTCCAAGGCAACCACAGTTCCAGCAGCCATCACTTTATGGGTGAGTTAATAAAATGTCTGACCAAATATAGCAGGCTTATTTTTAAGTTGTTAAGTTTGTATGGCTCACGAATGATGTTATAAATTTTGGCAGAAAAGTTTCCCCAAACCTGATTTAGATGATCAAACATAAGCAACAATGTAATATAAATACAAAAGGCACATTAAATCTAACCACTGATTGTTTTTAGAAGACAGAGGTACTCAAAAAAACCTCACTGTTTCAGAAAAATATGAAAACATCACAGGAAAGTATGAGGGGACTTCAAAAAGTTCGAGGAAAAATGAAGTTAAAAGATAAAAATATAAACTTTATTTCTCAACATAGACCCCATCAAGTTCAAGACACTTTGTAAGTGAAAATACCAACCATTTAATCCATCCTTAAAAGGTGTGGAATTGCCCGATAGGCAGTGGACTGCTAACCACAAGGCTGGCAGCTCAAATCCACCAGCTGTACCTTAGACACTGTACAGGGTCACTATGAGTCCGCACCAACTCGACAACACTTAACAACAAAATAGAACTGAAACCCCAGGGAATTTAAACGTCAATGCAGCCTTTTTTTACATTATTAACTAAAGTAAAATGGGTGCCCTTGAAAGATTTTTTTAAGAACTGGCACCAGCTGTTAGGTTTTCTAGGAGTAGTTGGTGGGTTTGAACCGCCAACCTTGTAGTTAGCAGTCTACTGCTTATTCTGCAGTGTGTTTGAACTGCTGACCTTGTGGCTCACAGTCCAGTGCTGATCCTACAGTGTCACACCAGGAGTCATTTTTTTAACACTGGTTGGTTGGTTACATGCCGTGGAGTTGGTTCCAACTCATAGTGACCCTGCATAGGGTTTCCAAGGCTGTAAATCTTTACAAGAGCAAAAAGTCTCATCTTTCTCCTGTGGAACAGCTAGTAGTTCAAACTGCTGACATTGATGTTAGCAGCCTGACTCAGAACTATTATGTTACCCAAACTCCTTTATTTTTTAAGATTTGTTGTTGTTGTTAAGTGCCGTCGAGTCAGTTCCGACCCATAGCGACCCTGTACAGGGTTTCCGAGGGTGTAAATCTTTTTTACGGGAGTAGAAAGCCTCATCTTTCTCCCGCAGAGTGGCTGGTAGTTTCGAACCACTGACCTTAAGGTTCGCAGCCCAATTCATAACCACTAAGCTACCAGAGCTCCTTTTTAAGATTAGGAAATAAAATTTTTCTTTAAGTCAAAAGGAACCAAATCAGAACTATACACTGGATGTCCAATAATCTCCCATCAAAACACATACAAAATTGCCTTTGTTTAATGAGAAGACTATGCAGGAGCATCGTTGTGGTGTTAAAGGTCTCTCTATTGAAGCTTTCCCGGGCATTTTTCTGCTAGAGCTTTGGCTAACTTTTTCAAATACTCTCATAAGCAGCAGATGTTGTTTTTTCACCCTCAGAAAAGTAAACAAGTAAAATACCTTGTGAATCCTAACATAACATACTGTTGCCATGACCTTTGTTCTTGACCAGTCTGCTTTTGCTTTGGTTTCCACCTCTTTGTGGCCATTGCTTTGATTGTGCTTTATCTTCAGGATTGATCATACTGGTAAAGCCCACGTTTCCTTTCCTGTACAATACTTCAAAGAATTACTCCAGGATCTTAATCCCACTTGTTTCTATTTTCCATTGAAAGCTCTGCTCTTGTCTGCATGAGATCTGGATGCAACAGTTTTGGCACCCATTAAGTTTTTGCTCAGTTTTAACTTTCCATCAGATTTGTGTAAGCTACACCAATTGAGATGTCAATGGTGTTGGCTATTGATTCTGCTGTTAACTACCTGGTCCTCTTCAATTAGGTCACAAAGACAATTGCTGCCTTGCAGACTGAAGTAGACAGTGTGCCCCTAACAGCTCATCTCCAATATCATCTTATTCCTTCTTAAACTGAGTTACCCATTTTTAAACTACTCATTTATTTGTGCCATTGTCCCTATAAACATTTTGTAAAGCGTAAATTATTTTACCATTCTTTTACCAAAGTGTGATCATAAATTTGAAGTTTATACTTGCTTCAATTTTAGC